GAGAGAGAGAGAGAGAGAATCCCAAGCAGGCTTGGCACTATCAGCACTGAGCCCGACATGGGGCTCGATCTCATGAACGCGGAGATCACAATCTGAGCTGAAAGCAAGAGTTGGACACTCAACCAACTGACCCACCCAGGCACCCCCCAAAAGTTTTAAATTCATTTGGATTCATTTCCCTGTTTGGGAACTTTCCTACTGATATATCAGAGTTGTCAGTTTTTCCACGAAGAGAGAGTTGTCCGAATATAAGTAAGTTGAACTCGCATTTAAGTACATACATTTTTAAACTACTTAAACATATTATTCAACTGAATTAGATGAAACGCTAAATTTAATCTATTTTCAGGGCGCCTGGGTGGTTCAGTTGGTTAAGTAAGCCTCCGACTTCAGCTGAGGTCATGGTCTCGCGGTTCTTAGGCTCGAGCTCCGGGTAGGGCTCTGCGTCGGGCTCTGTGCGGACAGCTCAGCTTCGGATTCTGTGTCTCCCTCTCTCTCTCTTTCTCTCTCTCAAAAATAAACATTAAATTAAATTTAAAAAAATCTATTTTCGTCCTATCCTAGTTTAGGAGCCAAGCGGTTTAGCATTGCTATCACCAAACTCTTGCACAAATTCTCCCATTTGTCATATACTTGGGGCGGGGCATTACACCGTAAGTTATTTCAGTCTTCCTCAGAACTGAGCCATTTACCATTGCGGCCTTGTAATAAAACCAATTTGCCGAGTCCAGTCACTCAGACCCAGCAAATTCCTAGAGCACCCCATTCTCATCCTCCAAATCCCAACGGAACCTTCTCTGTGGTAATCGCCCACCCCCGCCCCCTGAACCTCCAGATGCTGCAGACCTCCGGCTGACAGGTGACTCCACCCAACCACTCCTTGCCTTGGGCGGGTCGGGTGCAGGGCGGGTGGCCATGGACACTGCTGCTGCTGCTGCTGCTCTGGTCGCCGGCGGCTCCAGACGTGCCCGGAGGTGTGGACGCGGAGGCCTGCGCTGAAGGGCGGCTCTGAGGAGTCTCCTGGAGTCCGAAATTATAGCGACGACCCTGAATTCTAGCCTTTCCCAATGCGGGGGAAGCCGCAGGGGCAGAAGACGAGGTTGACGAGACCTCAGGCCTCAGCATCCTCACGAATCTTTCCAGACAGAAGGTTGGGATTTCTGAGCGGCGTCACCGCCCCGAAGTACGGAAGCGTCGAAGAACAGGGCTGGAGCCCCGTGCGCAGACGCACAGAGCCCCAGCGCGCAGGCGCACCGACCCCAACTTCCCCCACCCACACCTGGGATCCTACCCCCACCGGTGTCCAGTGCCTCCACCTCTCCCAGGATTTGGCTTTGTGGCTTTGAGCTTAATGAGGCACAACTCGGCTGAACCAAATTCTTCAGAGCCCATCGATGTCCATCCAATTTGGTAGCCCCGTTGTTAGTTACCACAGCACTCTATTTTACTAAAGGGGTTTGGTGCTTTTTAACATTTCCCACATACCCTCAAATACGCTTTTGAAATTTTTAAATTTTCAAACTCTCCCTCACTGGACACTCAACGCCTGCTGGTGGAGACAAATTCAGTTTTCAGCCTAACATTGCTTCTATAGCAAAACACAGAAAGTGCCACGAACCTCCTACAGCTTCAGTATCCACAAGGCTGATCACAAAATTGCCCTTCACCCATTAAGCACAGAACTATATACACAGTGCCCTAAGAACCAGGTCAAAAAAGATGAGCTCTCTCCCACAGTTCTCTATTTTTCATACTGTAGGTATGAATATACTGTAGGTATGAATTAGTTAAGAACAGACTATACAAATCCAAGCTCTAGCTTTGCAACAAATGACTTTCAGGGCCTTTTACTTTTCTTGACTATGGAAATAGCAGTACCAACTTCATAGAGAAGCTAGGATTGAGAAAATACTCTGGATACTATTAGAAGATACTGAAAAACATTACTAAACAGGGGCACCTGGGTGGCTCAGTGCTGACAGCTCAGAGCCTGGAGCCTGCTTCAGATTCCGTGTCTCCGTCTTCTCTGCCCCTCCCCTGCTGGTGCTCTCTCAAAAATAAACGTGAAAAACATTTAAATATTACTAAACAGCGTTTAAGTACAGACTTGTGACATCACTGTTGTACACGTGAAACTAACCCAACATTATGTAAAAACTGATTTCAGGCAGCTGTTACCTCAATAAATCAGGTGTTTACAGCCTAGTTCACCCACAGTTCCAATGGCACCATTTAAATATTATGTTCTATCCAATTTCAAACTTTCAGATCAAAATAGTGGCAATTCATCCTAAACTCTTCAAATTAGTTAACTGTCAAAATAGTTTCATTTCAACAATCTCATGTTAAGCACCTTTTCTTCAAAATGTTAAAAATGGACATTGGTGAATGAGGTCTAAGTGAACCATCACTTTCACTCTACCTCCAATGTGGGGCTTGAACTCACAAGAGTGCCATGCTCTACCAACTGAGCCAGCCAGGAACCCCACTAATCCTTATTCTTAAAAGGACTATTAACATAGAATATTGCCAACATGCTTGAGAAAATTTCAACTTCCATACTTCATTTTCACCAAGAATGTAAAACTCACAGAGAATACTCCTCTGTGCTCATGTTTCTGAAAATACAGGTTCAAAAAATATTGTGGCAACTATCAACTTCCATTTCCTTGAAGGCCAACAATTCCTTGGGAATAGCTGGCACTGTGACATAAAATCATGAAAAATAAGAGTAAAGTATATCCAAATTGCAATCCTACTCTAAGATGGTGAAATGCACCATTTACCTAAATTACTTTGTGACCAATTCAGAGTAGCCATAAACTTACGAAACAGTCCCAAATTTCAAAAGCCATTTATTCTTGTGCATCTTTTAATTCATATATGGATGGGTTTATCAATTTTTATTAACATTCACATTCTCATTGACATAGACCAATTTACATTAGCCATTATTATATAACATGAAAGAAGCACATGGAAAAAATCAAGTAGAACACAATACTTCTTTAAATAGTTCTTTAAACTGAGCTTGCTGTTAAGGAAACATACAAATAAATACACTGAAGCAGAAACAAATAATTGTACTCAGAATAACAGCATTGCAGAAGGTAATCTAAAGCTGATACAATAAAGATCTTTATTTTACATTATGTATAAGTACATAATTAATATTCATATACAAAATAGTAACACAGCTTTTAAGTCTGATAAGCACTTTAAGCACATTAAGTCTGATAAGCACTTTTGTTAAGATAGCAAAACTATACTAAGCAATGTCTCACTGTCTAGCTCACTAGTTCAGGCTGAACATTCACTCTCCGAAGTACTTCTTCAGGCATGCAGAAAACAGGACTAACAGGTTTGATCTGTTCTTCTCCCAAAAGTGACAATCCAGCAATTCCAAATAAAGTATGAAAAGGATCCACCTATTTAAAAAATAAGAATTTATAAAGTATTACAAATGAAAACTTCTGAAACTCTACTTCTGAACAAGTTATATTGGATCCCATTGTATTTTACTTTAATAAATGCTTAATTCTTCTAAAATAAAAGTGATGGGGGTGCCTGGGTGGCTCAGTTAAATGTCCAACTTCAGCTCAGGTCATATCTCACAGCTGGGGAGTTTGAGCCCCATGTTGGGCTCCGTGCTGACAGCTCAGAGCCTGGAGCCTGGTTGGGATTGTTGTGTCTCCCTCTCCCTCTCAAAAACAAACATCAAAAAAAAAAAAAAAAAAAAAAAAAATTAAAATATGTATGTATAAAATAAAAATGATGGCTTCAAATTCTGTTTTTAACACAGGACCTTCACCATACACTACTTTTCTTGACAAGTGATAAGAAATTTCTGTACACTTGTTTTATATCATCTGTTCTCAAATTAAAATTATCGGAAGGGTATCTATCCTACTTTGCATACTATCCCACTTCCATGTCTGGAAATGCCTGGAAACCTAAAAGTAACTCAAAGCAACATTTTCTGAAAATGTAACTAACAAGATGTCAGAAATATACTTGCCATATCTCCTGGTCGATCTGCAAATCCTCCTGTTTCTTCATCTTGACATGCTAAAATGAAACTTCGCAGTTTCTCTCTATCAATCCAATGAAGCCTTCCAATTATCTTTAGGGAAGCCAACACCCACCATGAATAGCATACATCTGGTAACTAGGAGAAAAAAAAAGCCACAAGAGAATTGCCACAATTTTATTCTCTAGTCCAAACATGGGGTGGGGGAGGATTAGAATTAAAGATAATCTTTAGAATTAAAGATAATCACTGGAAAACAAACATTTCAATCCACAGATACCCATGCTAAAAGTTTCAGAGCTTTGTTACTCAGTGAAAACTATACCTGTACCTCTATTTTATATGCAAAGAATGTCCCTTATGCTAATGTTATGATATACCTGCTTAAAGACAGTCTAAAGCCTAGCTCCTCAAAATATGGGTCACTTGGGTTTAAAAAACGCAGAACATCTCACCTTCAATTGAAGAATCATTTCAACAAAATCAGTGGGTGATTCATAGGTGTATTAAAAGCTCTCCTACACTAAGTGTAGATTCCTGGCAATCCCCACCCTGACCCATTTTCTAACTGTCCAAGATTATCCAGGTTTTTCACTGGACCTTAACTAGCTAGAAACCACCTATGGGTACTTCCCTACCCCTTACCTTATTCATAAATGTTGAACAAGCAAAGTTTAACAAAAATACAGTGATCTAGACAAAAGCACCACCATGCCTTATTATTTTTGCCCTAAAATCCAGCTAGCTACAGTCTTTGAGTCATTATCTAGACTACAATGTTTTTTGTTTTTTTAAGCTTTATTATTTATTTTTGAGAGAGAAAGCACGAGTCAGAAAAGGAGAGGGAAAGGGAGAGAGGAAGAGAGAGAATCCCAAGCAGGCTCTGCACTATTAGCAGATCCCTACGTGGGGTTTGACCCCATGAACTATGAGATCATGACCAGAGCCGAAGTTGGATGCTTAACCAAATGAGCCATGCAAGCACCCCAAAAGATTTTATATGCATAAATGGTTTTTATAATACACAAGTCTTACAATTTGCTCTTCAGGATAATTACGTAGTTGCAATAAGACTGTATGTCCTACAGTGCTATAAACATTTACTATCTGGCGCTTCCAGACCCAATTTAGAGAATGTGTGATAACTAAAGAGAAATGCAAACTATGAAGGAAAGCTGGATTCCCTTCCCTCCAAATCAAAATGTCAAAAATTGGGTTTTTCTTTTAAAAAATTTAATAAAGGTTTTAAATGAAAACTTTGTAGAATTTTTAAAAATCATTGATTTTCTAAGTTATTTGTCCTTTCACCCAGTAAGTAGACATGGAGATTTCTACACAAGATACAGGTGTTCACTTAACAGCCCTCCTTGCGGGGGGCACCTAGGTGGCTCAGTTAAGTGTCCAACTTCAGCTTAAGTCACAATCTCAGAGTTCGTGATTTCGAGCCCAGTATCAGGCTCTGTGCTGACAGCTCAGAACCTGGATGGAGCCTGCTTCGGATTCTGTGTCTCCCCCTCTCTTGTAGCCTCCCCACCCCACCCCCCAAAATAAACATTAAAAGAATTTAAACACAATAGCCCTCTTTGGGTCCCAAATACAAACAAAACTTTTAATGCATGACTGATTTTCCTTGGTATAGGTCTAGAACTAAAAGTTTAAAGAAATAGCTGCATTTCTATCCCTGGAAAATACAAGGCCTTCAGGATAGGGAAAAAGACCCTTTAAGAATTCATATACTAAGTCTAAATACAAATATACTTTAAAGCCAAGAGTTATTTGCCATTTTTTTTTTGTTTTCCCTCAGATTCTACTCCAGATTCTACTTCAGGATAGGGAAGACTGAAGACAGCATCAGAAAGTAGCATACACATCTTTTCTTCAAGAGTCTTTTAAATGGATACCTTAATAAGTATCTCAACTAATTTTTCGCCAAGGGCATTTTTTTAGAATGTACAACTGAAAATTTTCAATGGGGGTGGAAAGACAAGCTCATTAACAATTTACAAAAAGCTATAATAACAAAGCTACTAGAACACAGTATATCTGATGAAACTATACCTTCTCTGGCCTTCCATTGAGTCCACCTGATGGTAACTGTCGTTCACAAAGCCACCAACCGAGTAAATCAGAATTTACTTGATGCAACTGGCTAGTAATAGCCAGAAATCCTGTGCAACAATAGATCTAAAATTACAGACATAAAGTACATGTATATAATAATTTTTCAATAGTAATAGTGATAAAAACTACTCAAGTAAAAAGCCAATTTATGTCTAAAAACTTGGTTTCTATTAAAAAGTTAGAATTGCAAACATGTAAATATCACCTAACTACCTGAACAAATCCAAACATACTAATTCTAGGATCCAATTCTGCAATGAAATACTATTGTCAAAATTTCTTCATGGCTAAAAGTCAATTTTTTTTTCCAAGATTTTATTTTTAAGTAATCTCTATACCCAACATGGGGCTCAAACTCACAACTCCATGATCACAAGTCACATGCTCTATGGACAGAGAGCTAGCTAGGTGCCCCTAAAAAGCAAGTTTTATTTGACAACTATTTACAGATACAATGTACAACAGTACAAATACTCTTTACAAACACAATTTGCCTCTCTGGCACAAGCAAATAGGTGTTCAGGAGAGGTGGGGAACAGGATGCTAGAACATACTACTGTAAAAATGCCTTCCTTTATCTGCATTTAAGCAATTCTTATGTAAAATCCCACATTATAGTATATTTAAGTTAACTTCATTCACATTTAACAGACACAAACTTCTATTAATATTTTAGCAGTTTACCACACTAGTTATCCCTTCAAAGTTGACAATTTTAATCCACATTAATAAATTACCTGTCCAGCATGGGATTCAGAACCTGGCCTGCAACCAAATCCACCATCAAAGTTCATACACGATAAAACAAACTCAATTGCTTTTTCCACATTAATAGCATCTAACTTCCCCTACAAACAGAAAAAAAAATAAGCCTATTAGATTCCAGAATAATCATGGGCACTTAATTATTCCAATACAATATTCAAAACTTACCAACAGGGCCAAAGTTGCCACCGCACAAAAAGAGAATCTTGTATCAATTTCTCCTAAAAGAAAATGGAATCAAATCAAAACATAAGTGCTACCAGAGGAACCTGACCCTAATATATAATGCAGGTTAACTAACAAACTGCAAAGCTACCACGGTTAAATTTCCAAGAGTGCAAGCTTAATATTTACTTTTTGGACACTAGGAGGAAAGCTAAATCTGAAGCAAAATCACTTCTGAGGAAACCAGTAACTAGAAAATAGTTTTGTCAAAAATACAGCAATTTATCTTAAGTTGCTTAGAATGCTCAGAAAGGGAAGATAACTAACACAGAACCAAAAGGACTATTCAATTTCTAATAATGACAATGAACTTACCCTATTATATAAAAGTGGATTTTCACATCCCATGAAGCAGCTGGTCTCTCCGGCCTGCACTGTATTCAGCCCTAAAGCAGAGATTATCTACATTTATCAAATATAGTACTATGTACTATTCCCTCCCTCCACTCAAATATCCAGTAAGTTTGTAAAGTTTTTTGACTATTTTTCCCTTGCCAGTAAATAGTTTGAAAAAAACTTTACAAAGTCACCAAATACTGGGGAAAAAAATTTCACCTACCTCATCTTTTAGACTGGCCCCCTCTGTTCCAGTTCTCCTGTATGCTGATATAACTACACAGTGCATGCTGGAACTTCCAGCAGACCATTTAACTTCAGTTAGACCAGCTGCTTAGTGGGACCTGAAAAGATCAAAAACTTAAAAGTCTCCTTATAATTATTAGCAAAGTCTCCAATTCATTGTACTTAAAATTTTTCAACAAAGTTTATCACTACAATCAACACCAAAACAGAATTTAAAATTGGTTATTTTGGGTAGCATGGCTTAGAATGACATTACCCCAAATATCTCCAGCAAAAGAGCCATCTTCTTTCTGTAGACTCTGAACATATTCCACAACTTTATTTACATCAATAACATTAATACTATCATACAGAGTAAGAATCTGTAACAAAAACAAAACATGTTAAGTAAATACCTCTTCAACACTAAGTTTGTTCTGATGTTTTCCTCAATGACATTTTAAATTGTTAAGCAAACATGTCCTTTTCTCTATGCATACTGCAAATGTGCAGGCTATCTTCTATTATGCCACAGGCTTTATCAACAAACCCAAATTGGTAACATAAAGCATTCATCCCCTACACACAAACTATACCTTAGCATTCTAAGACCTTTAAATATACTATTTAAACCCCTAATTGTGCATTTTCACTAATATGAAAATCAACATTTAACTCTACCTGGAGATTTTCAAATTATTTACATATAACAAAGATAAACATTTTACCATTCAAGGTCTCAGTGGAATTTTACTATTTACATCAACTTTGGATTCAGCTAATACATGCCATCACATCATTGACCTTGTAGAATACAGGCTTCATTTGAAAAGAGAAACTTGTTTGACATAGACACCAATTTTGTCATACTGCTAATACCCAATTTCTGCGTTCTCAAGTAAGAAAATACACTGCCAAGACTGTTAAATTTTAATAAATATTTACCTGGACAGCACTTAGAGTGTACAAAAGATGAGGATCATGTCCGATACTAGCACTTATTCCACCACACTCGTGTTGACATGACTTAATAAATGTCAGAATTTCTTCTCTATTCATCCGATGTAGTTGTCCCATGAGATCCATTACAGTCAGACCCCAATAGATACCACTCATTCTCAAATACTCAGACATACAGTATTCCTAAAATACACAATGACTTTAATGTGCCAGTTTGAACTGATGCAGGGTAAAAGTGATGGAACATACAAAGCTAACTAACCACACATACTGTTTAATTCAGTTGATCCTAACATCATCAGTAATGATTTTAAATTTGTGGCTCTCAAATTTGGTGGGGGGACAGTATCTGAGAGGCATATGATAAATTCACCTGTGACTGACAATACAAACAGGACTTCAATCTCTCCTAAGAGCCAACCAGAAGAAGTGAAAAATATACCAACCATTTTCAAGTTTGGGGAAAATATTTCTTTCAGAGTACTTAACATCGTTATTTATTAGACATCTATCCTATTGATATATGGAATATGTACAAAGCCCATCTATTACCTATTAGTTACTGATACAACTACTTGAAAACCAAAATGGCCAAAGCATGCAAAAGATAAAATAGCCAACAGCTCATCAAAGAAAAATAAAAACTGGTAGACAGAGAGTCCACCGATGTTATTACACACTAAAATTTTGAATCAGGTGAGTGGTCTTAGTTTGCTGTGAACCCAAATTCAGGGTTTAAATAATAGGTTGGTAAGCACTAGATTAAAAAGGCAGGGATAAGTTAAGACTTAATCCTTGAGTCATCCAGGGAAAAGATAAACATGGTCCTTAACAACTCCATAATGAGGTTATGAGAACTTAAGTCACAAATTCATCAAAACTAGCCAAGATGGTCAATTCAATTGTTGTCTGGATACTACTAGGAAAAATATTTACTTTGAGTTGTATGTTACTCAACGTTTCTGAAACTTAGGGTAAGGACTTTTTCAAGGTCTCAGCGTAATTCTAGAGCTAAAGTATTATTACACATCAGCCATATACTCAGGTAATACATGCCAACACATCACTGACCTTGAAAGTAATACCCACAAAGTACAAATCTCTTTTGTACCTCAAACCTCTTACAAATCTAAGCAGGTGGTAATCTATTTTGTCTGCCAAATCTTCTAAGAACCATCGTTAATGCTGATGTACTCTCAACCTGATGTCCAAAGGCACACTGAACGCACCTCAGAGAGGGATCTTCAGTGCTTTGGCGTGCAGGAGTTACCATTTTTAAGAAACATGGGCCATTACTGACCTACTGACTGCTTATGCATTATAGATTCACTTCAAAATAAATTTCCAACGTAAAATCATATACATACATAATCGTCTTTCTTTGAGCCATAGGATGCAATATAATCTGCATGCTTCTCTAACAAGAGGGTGTCAGGTGCATCTGATTTGATAGTAACATCCTTCTGCGGTGTGCCCTTTCAAAACAAAAAAGCAGTGATTTCATAACTGTTCTTATTTTAATACTTGACCCCAGTTTGTATATTCAACATACATTTGAATTTTTCACTTTGATTTCATCTTGCCACACAAAAACTGTAAGCACTAAAGCCGTGGTAAGATTCGGGTAATTTTTCAGGTCTCAGAGTAATTCTAGAGCTAAAGTAGTAATAATCAACTTCGGATTCAGAATACATGCCAGCTCATCATTGACCCAAAAAATTATTACCCATATCTGCTGTTGCTTACCATTCACTTAAGAGTTTTAAGTAAAATAAACACCACAGAAAATCCAAGCTTATCAATTCAGGCCAACAGAAGGTTTACATGTAGCAGCAAGTTGAAGCATAAATATATATATACCTAGCGTATAATTTGCAGTTAAGTTCTTTAATGAAATTTTACTAATCCTAGAAATTCAGGTTTCAGAGCCACCTCTACACGCTCCAAAGACTATTCAATTTATCAAGGAAATATTCCCTTTAGCCTCATCTTTTCCAGCTTTTTAGTCTTAGTTTCTTCATTTGCAGCAAGCTCTCAGGAAATGAGGACGCTGCTCCAGTTCCTGCACTTCTGATCTAGCTCATTGTGATCGAGACAGCACTATCTCATTGTTAAGTAGGTCATGACGTAGATTACCAAAAAAGAATTTAGTGAATTTCCACCAGATCCCGCCTAAAATTTACATCTTCAAAGAGACCATACCAGTAATGACTACAGATTTTGAGCCATACAATATTAAGAAAGTAAACAGGAACCACCAACTGGCGCGGCTTTTTGAGCGATTAAGAAATTGGGCCGTCGGACCTTGAGGCCTGGCTCTTAGGATGAAGCCTAGATAAAATTAGAAGCCGTAATTGAGCCCGCGAGATCTGCAGAAAACGCTGAGTAATGCTTCACCCTCTCCTAGCCCTAAAGAAACCTTGCAAGGCCCGTATCTCAAGCTAACCATTCTCTAATACTTGCGAAAATACCCTAAGGTAACCGAGCCGCTCGGTATCATTCCACCTGGACTGCACCCGAGCACCAACCCAAAACGCAACCTCACTCACCATGTCTGAGACCGAAAAGAGAACTTGGGTCGGTTCCTGGGGAGAGTTAGGCGGCACGCGCCTGCGCAGAAGCGCCCCTTAGGTCCCTTCCGAGCACCAGCATAGCTGACCACACTTGCGCCTGTAGGATGGAGCCTTTGCGTGGCTGCTCTAGGACCCCGCCGACTGCTCATAGCTGTCCTCGCTGCCTGAGCCCAAATTCTTTGGCGCCCGTTTCTTCGTCCCATAAACATCTCGATTTGTCTAAAAGTTTTAAGTAATGTTTAAATATCTGAATTACTTTTAAGAAATCATTTGATTTTGACGTTCTTTGACTCTGAAGAGCTGAAGTAGCTGGTAATTAGTAGAGTTCTTCCACGTAGTAAGTATTCAATAAACGTTTTTTGAGTAAATGTTAATGAAATAAATGTTCACATTTCCCTCCTGTTTGCCTTCGTACCGGATGCGACTCACTCGCCTACTCCCTTCTCTTCTTCAGGAAGTGCTAACAGTTGAAAAGTTTTGTAAATTACTTTTGAAAAAGAAACACTCATGTTTCTATCACAAGCTTTCCACTAAATTCAGATTTGCTAGGGGTATTATTGCAGCTGTTTTCGTTTGTGCTTTCTTAGGTCGTTCATACTTTGGCATTTTGAGCACCCATTAGAAAATATTGGCCCCCATACCCTTACAATTTATTACATTCAGTAACGATTTGGAGAAGAGTTCCTGACACAGTGGGCTATCAATATAATGGGCTATCAGTAATTGAGAGTGTTGAATCTGCTATAATGGTAAATTTCATTATTTCTCCCTGCAATTCCATTGATACTCCCATGTATGTTTGAGGCTACTTTATTAAATGCATGTAAGTTTAGCATCTATTTCTGGTGGGTTGAGCCTTTTACCATTAAGTGATGACTGTCTCTAGCCCTAAAACTTTTTATCTTAAAAAGTCTTCCCTAAATATTAATGTGATTTCGCCAGCTTTCTTTTGCTTCTAAGTCAGATCGGGGAGGGATGTAGAGGGAAGGAAACCAAGGAAGAGAGGGAGAGGTCACACTTCCTGGGAAAAGCAATGCTCAAAGTAGGAATAATGCAAGCATCAGATCCAAAAAGTAACATTCAGATTGAGTCCATAACTGCTGAAAAAATGAAGAACAAGCCTCATTTCCTACTTTATAAATTCATTCAACAAATATTTATTGGATGTCTAGAATGTGCCAAATAGTTTTTTTTTTAAATTTTTTTTTTTTAATGTTTATTTATTTTTGAGACAGAGGCAGAGCATGAACGGGGGAGGGTCAGAGAGAGAGGGAGACAAAGAATCTGAAACAGGCTCCAGGCTCTGAGCAGTCAGCACAGAGCCCGACGCAGGGCTCGAACTCCGGGACCGTGAGATCATGACCTGAGCCGAAGTCGGAAGCTCAACCGACTGAGCCACCCAGGCGCCCCTAGAATGTGCCAAATATTATTCTAAGTTCTAGGGGTGTGATGATCAGCAAAATGGAAATCTTTGAGGAAGCATAAGTTCTAGCAATTCTTTTAATTACATTCAGCAACTCTATTTATAGATACTTATCCTACAAATAGTCTTTTGGGTATGAAGTGACCTATGTGCAAGAATATTGATAGCAGCAGTCTTTATTAGCAAAAGGTTACAAATACCTTAATTACCATCAAAAGGTTAAATAAACTACACTGTATTCATTATGCAGTCATTAAAGAGAGGAAGCTCTGCATATATTGCTATGGAAAGATCTCTAAAATATATTAAGTGAAAACAAAAACAGAAAGTGCCAAGCTATGTATGTTGTGCTACTATTTGTGTGGAAAACAAAGTAGGAAAATATATGGATGTATTTGTAAATGCACAGAATTACTAAAAGCAGTTGCCTACAGGAGGAGGATAGCTGGGGACAGGATTTAAGGAAGGCTTCTTTTTCACTGAATATGCTGGTACTTTTGAAATTTGGTATATCTTACCTCCTCAAAAAATAAAAATATCCTCCCCTCAAAGAAAAATAGTTACAAAAATAAACAAACAAAAACCCTAATTTTGAAAAAACAAGTTCATCTCTGTTTCTAGGCCTGTGCTGTGTAATATAACTAAATGGGACACTTGAGATGTAGTGAATCTGAATTGAGATGTTATAAAGTATAAAATGCACACCCTATTTTATAGACTAAGTAGGAAAAATAAAGTAAAATATCTCATTAACAATTTAAAAAGTAGATTGATAAAATCATATTTGGATATATTGGGTTAAGTAAAACATTCTTTTTTCAAAGTTTATTTATTTTGAAAGGCAGAGAAGGAGACAAAAACATACTCTTTTTTTAAATATTTTTTTAATGTTTATTTTTTTAACGTTTATTTATTTTTGAGACAGAGAGAGACAGAGCATGAACAGGGGAGGGTCAGAGAGAGAGGGAGACACAGAATCTGAAGCAGGCTCCAGACTCTGTGCTGACAGCCCCGACGCGGGGCTCGAACTCACGGACTGCGAGATCATGACCTGAGCCGAAGCCGGCCGCTCAACCGACTGAGCCACCCAGGCGCCCCAGTGTTTATTTATTTTTTGAGAAAGAGAGAAAGAGGGCGTGCATGCAAGCCGGGGAGGGACAGAGAGAGCGGGAGACAGAATCCAAAGCAGGCTCCAGGCTCTGAGCTGTCAGCACAGAGCCTGAAGCAGGGCTCAAACTCATGAGCAGAGAGTGGAGCCTTGAGATCATGACCTGAGCCTAAGATGAATGCTTAATCCAGGTGCCCCTTTCCTAAACTTTTTATATTAGTTTATTGATCAAATTGGCTAACTTAACTCCTACATAAATTTTAAGATCTTTAAAATTGTAAATTTGGCTTCCATTAAATTGAATCAACAATGAAACAAGATTGAAGCAAACAAAATAAAAAATGAAATTTTTTTCCAACCGTAAATTGGAATTATATAATTTCTTTAAATTTTTTTTCTAACGTTTTATTTATTTTTGAGACAGAGAGAGACAGAGCATAAACAGGGGAGGGTCAGCAAGAGGGAGACACAGAATCTGAAACAGGCTCCAGGCTCTGAGCTGTCAGCACAGAGCGCGACGCCGGGCTCGAACTCAAGGACCGCTAGATCATGACCTGAGCCGAAGTCGGCCGCTTAACCGACTGAGCCACCCAGGCCCCCCGGAATTATATAATTTCTAAGAACCTTAGAAAATTTAAAACCTTGGACTATACTGAGTTAATTAATAATCATGGCAAACCTAGGTTGTTTTTTGGATAGAATATTAAACCCTTGATTACCAAGCCTGATTTTAAGTTTATATACTTTTGTTTCTTATTTTGATATGCTATGTAGTAAGTGATACCTTTGGGTCAAGTTAATAAATGTTTCTTTTTGTTGCATTAATGTATAAAAGGATATGTATAGCTGAACAAAGTTGTGTTAATGCTCATGAGTTTTGATGATCTGCTGAAATATTGATATGTGACAAACAATTCTCAATGACCTGCCTCCCAGGTTTCTCTAGGAGTTGGTTTCTCTGGGAAGTTAGTTTCTTTAAGTATAATAAGGATTACTGTATAACTATAACAGTAGCAATCGTTACAGAAAAATACAACTATGTATGTGTTTTTATTTTTCAAGAGAAAAGTGCAGTTTTGTTCCAAATTATCAGTTTGTTCTACAGTATGAAAAAGCATAGGAAAGACAATTTCAGGAAAGTGAATTTTATTTGCCTTGATATATAGTACCTGCATCTGAAAAGACACTGGAATATGCTACAATTTTGGCAAAGTTCAGTCAGTTTTAAGGGTCTTGCTTCCTTGGTTGAGCCATCAATCCCTAAGGTAAAAGGTTAATCTTTACCTTCTGCCTAGATAGCAGAGATTTTGTCTTAACCAGAATAAACTTTCATTGCTCTATGTGTCATATCTTTAATTATTAAAAAGAAACAAGGAAAAAGGATTTTTATTTGAGAAACATCTTAAACTTCTTATAATCATGTTATAGTACATTCTTCTGTATTTTTTAAATTTATTGTCCTTTAATTAAGTATATAACCAAGTATTCTTTGTCAGTATTCAGTATTCTCTGCACCTATAATCCTATCATAATCAAATGATCAATCATCTCTGATATCATGACCTTCCCAGGGTCAAATCTTGAATGAAGAAAAATCAAAATTTCAGG